GGCCGTGATGGCTGATTGACTTTGAATGGTCCTTGGAAGCAATTCACTTTAAAAAAAAAAAGGCAGAATTAATTTTCCTGTTTGTTTTCTCTGCTTTACAGGTGTGTTTCGAAAACGCTGCTTGGTCAGAGTGGGGATCAGTTCCATACGTTTGCTTGGAAAAATGCAACGTTGGCTGTCGCCTTGTCAAGATCAACTTAAAGAGCAAAACACGTTTTACGCAAACACTGGGAAAGTTGTTGTTCAGGACAACCAATTGTTGATCTTACACCCCTCACACCAGCTGGTACCTGACATTGACATTCAACCTTTTGATCTTAACTGTGGTTCGAATTGGCTGGTGACCATCCTTGACTTTGGCTTTAGTTTCAAAGTTTTTATGGAGCAGGCAGTCCACTCACCATGGAACTTTAATCCAGGCCCACGTGTTTTTGTTTTTTTTCCCGTCGCTCACCTCAAGTCAACCCAAATCTATGGGAATGTGATGTGGAAAATAAAAGTGTTTATTTTCTGACACCAACTGAATGTCAAATAAATGGCTCATCTCGAATACCTCAGGTGGTTTCGCTGGACTGGCAAGGGGCTGATGTCAACAAGATAATGAGTGTAAGTCATAGTATTCAGTATACACGTTTACAGTGTTGGGAAAGTTCATTTTCTCTGTGAAGTCGTTCAAAGTTCAGCTCACAAATTTTCAAATGAGTGCAGTTTAAACTTTGTAATTGAAAGTTTGTTTCAGAAGTTGACTATTCAATGGTCCCCCAATTGCCTGCTATTTTACTAATCAAAGTCAGGCACACTCGGCTTGAACGCAGTTCCCGCCAGACTTCTGTGAAAAGTTTAATCGATCGCCCAAGTACTTAATTCCAGTGTTTCACATTTTCATGTTATTTTTATCTTAGCAATTGGCATGGCTTCTCAATCTTCTGTTTACGTTATGGCTTGTCATCCCTTTGTCGGAATGACACTTAGAAGTGCAACTTCTGCATTGCCATGGAGGCTACGATTACTGATTTAGGAGCGACTCAGTGACCTGTTTAGCCACCTGCAGCTCGTTGCTAGCTAACTGGTATGGTGGAAGCAGCACCAAGCTTGCCTCGATAATATCCGAACAGCATTAAGCAGTGAGGATGGGTGACTTTTAATCATTGATTTATTTATTTTTAAACAAGACTGTGTTGATTTGATCACATTTATTTTATACTGGCCTGGTTGGGCCATCCAGACGTAACATCTGGATGGCCCGACAAAACACTGTACTGACATTTGCTTCCGCTTTGTACCTCTCACACTTAGATGACAGTAATGCTTTTCGGGAACATCTCTGCGGGACGGAAAATGATTCCAGTCTTGCTGTTCAATGTGTTTTAAAGAAGCGCAAAATACAAATTTTGCCAAACTGTGATGCAGAACGTCTTATTTTGAGCGTTGGTTTAAAAAGACTCAAGTAAAACATCGTTTTACATTCTACTCTCCAAATGTGGAGGAGAGGGTTTTTCAGAATGACCTACTCTCACAGATCTGGTCCATTCATCAGGTCGGGGCCCCTCGTGGTCTGATCTCCTTCTGTTTTGTGGCATGAATTTGCAGCAATTCTTGGTTTTGCATCATTTCTGTGTTCACAGCGTTTGGCTGTTTGCAGCCTGCTACCCCCTCTCAGAAACGTAGCCACCGTCTTGCCTTGTTGTGTTTCAGAATTCTACATCTGACACCCTCAGGACATTCCCTGGCAGTGAGAAACTGGCTCATCTATGGGGAAATTAATCCCAGCCGTTTGTTGTGTTAATAGATGGTGGAGCCAAGTTTCTCAGGGTACAAAGTGTGTGGTCCGACGTTTCAGTTTCTCTGTCAGGTGTGGCGTTGGCCCTGTAACGTTTTTTTTTTTTTTTTTTTTTAAACTCTGAAATCCTGTGGCACTCCGGTTTCCCATGAGAAATGCAGACTTCTATGCGCAACACCGATTTAGCACAATCACCGGCACTAATTTGCAATATATGCACAAATGAATGAGGGACACGAAGTAATGGGGAAAAAAGACTTTTCAATATGAATCATGAAGTTATCAGTCAGAAATGAATATTGAAATGACGACACTTTGACACATCTAATGTTCAAGAGATATCAAAGGCACTAATAGGCAGACAGAAGTGCTAATTACCATGTGATTGGAATGGATTCAAAACCATTTGGGATATTGTATTTGTTCAAAATAAGTGTAATTGTACTTTACATGACTGAAGGACTTTGAGTGTGGCATAAAGGTGGCCGTGTGAGGCTGGTTTGTTTTGAAGGCAGCTTGATGGGTGACATATTTTCAGACTGCAGAAATCACAAATACATTTTATCTTTGTGTTGCTGTTAGTAGAGGTTGCTAAAGGCGATGCCAGCACCCTGAACAAACCTTAAAAAAGGTGCTTCCACTTGCTCTTGTGTCGCTCTTGGTGTGTGTGTGTGTGTGTGTGTGTGTGTGTGTGTGTGTGTGTGTGTGTGTGTGTGTGTGTGTGTGTGTGTGTGATTATCTGACAGAAAGAGAGGGGGTTCACACGGAAGTACCAGAGGAACAATTCTGGCTTTTATGAGAGGAAATGAATCTCTATTTAACACATTCTTTTTCTTGGATGGTTCATGAGAGCCACTGGGAACAACAAGCTGTTCAAGAAAAACTGAAAGAGTTTTTATTCCCAGCTATGTATCCTGCACACAGGAAGACACCCCACCCCGATTTAATGTTCCTTGCAAATAATGGGAATAAGTGGCTTGTTTACTGGGTCCACATTACAGTAACCATCAGAGTAAGTTAAAAAAAAAAGTTTCATTGGTGACATTGGTGACATTTGACTCCTTCTTAAATATAGAATTATTAAAAGGTAAACTAATGAATAAAACTCCACTGCATCAACAGGAGCCAGATGAGGTGGCTGCGGCACCTTATTAGACGCCCTGCTGGACGTTTCTCCCTGGTGAGCTGTTCTGGTCCACGTCCCATGTGGGGGAGGTGCCAGAGACGACTGACGAGAGACACTATCTCTTGGCTGCCCTGGAAAATTCCTCGGGAAACCCCCACCAAAGGAGCTGGATTAAGTTGCTGAATAGGAGGAAGTCTGGGGTTCCCTGCTTAAGCTCATGCCCTTGCAACCCCGACCCCGGAGATGCGGAAGAAAATGAATGGATGGATAGTGACATTTCTGTCTATTGCTGTCTACATGCTGGGATTTGGTAACTGAAGCGATGTCCACTCAAACTGACTTTTTAACACATGAAAGGCCCCACACATGATGAGGAAAAAAAATGGTGACTTGTGTTCTTAAGATCAAGATCATGTTTCACTGAGCGGCCAAGTTTTGCAAGCAGATGTTGCTTTATCGTTGGTTTAAGGTTGAAAAGACATTCACCAGACATTCGTAAAGTTTTTCTTGTTGCAATGAAATTTTGAATGTGTCCACAATCGAATGGCTGCCATTGAGAGAAGCAACATGTTGCAAGGGAGGCACCAATAAAATCTGGAAAATACAGAAAGAAGAAAGCAGGATTAGAAGAAAAAGCTAGGCCAATTGTTTTTCTGGTACATTGCAAAGGCAAACTCTTCTCCCTGTCATTTTCATTGAGTTGTATGACATTTGACACACATTCTACAAACGCTCAACACAACCAGTTACTGTTCTATCCGTGTTCGATGAAAGCGACAGCTCGTGAAGGGTTTGCGTTCATAAATACTGAACAAGTTTTTAACATTTTCGGTCTGCCCATTTCCAGATCAGATTGGGGTGAAACACACCGTCCTCGCAATGTCAGGACAATCTTTTAGAGAAAAGGTGGGAAATTAATTTGATGACGAAACTGGAACGGTTGTCAAGGTCGACGCTGACATGCGAACCACGACTGTGTTCCATAAATTAATGTGAGAAGAGCGCAATCTGTCTCTCCGAACACCTGCAATTTTCAGAGTAGTGCACGGCTTCAGGGTGACTTTCCAAACGCGCCCTAACGTTATCGCCAGTCACGGGTGTATTACTCATGTACAGGCTACAGTGAAGGAGCGTGTGTTTTTGCATTCACTTTTCAATTAATAAATAAAGCGATTTCATCTCAATACCATGCTCATAAAGGAATGCTTGGGAGACGGTGCAAATTGCAAAATGTCACATGGTGTTGTTACGTCATGTGGACCTGATGTGGATTGTTTTCAGCATTTTTGGCCACGACATTCGTCAAAGAAGAAGAATTTATGCTTGGTGGTTGCGCCTTCTTGGCAGCACGCATATTCCAGCACTGACTTTGACTGGGAGGAATGTTGGCGCCATTTGACTGTCGTTGCTGGACAGCCCCGGGCGCTTGTGTTTTGGCGCTTGTAATGGGCAGCCTTTTTCACAGCCACGCTTTGTTCACCGGAAAGGTCGGTGCTGTCGGACAGTCTGCGGCTGGATGGATGGATGGCTTGTGGAGCCGACGATGAGAAGAAAGCAGCGTCAGCGCAGAGCGCTGATGCGTATGTGGAACTGGGAGTCGCGGCTTGAAATTGAAGCGGATTTACATGGGACAGGAGATGAGAGCCAATCTCTTTTTCGTTAATGGACGCTACAGCTTCTTGTTGCTTTCAAACTTAGCTTGTAGCAGACGTGTGCACATTTTCAGCATGACGTCTTCGATCCGCTGGTGAAAAGGACACTTTGATTCACTCCTCTTTCATCTACAACTGCTTTAAACAACTAAGTGTATGCAGGAAAAGTGGTTAAGATTGCACGACTGTCTGTGTCTTGTACGTTGTGTTGTATTATTTTGTCATTTTATGTTAACTGTTCTTTCGATGGCGGCTCGGGCACCCGCAGCGGCTCGTCTTGTTGTCTTGTTGAGAGGGAAGAAATTTCATCTGTGCTGTATGTTACACATACAGCGCATTTGACAATAAAGTTGTACTTGACTTGAATTGAGAGTTGACCAGCTTGCCAAGCAACACACTGCATGCGTGGCACATCCAATACCACCCCCCCAAATCTGTCATTTGTGGCCCATTATTATGATGAGCATAGTGTTTGTAACCGGCAGTTCAACTGAAAGTCCCATTAGCATGTGAAAATACTCACAGTTGAAGAGGAAAATCCGCACGCATTGAGCTGGCCGATAACTCCTCGGTGCGGAATCATCCTGTGGAGAAGACATGAAGAGGGACAAAATGCCAAAGTAAAGTGAACTCTTGTACATGTTCGTTAGAAAAGAAATGTATTGATTTAATGATTCATTGATGAAGATTTATGTAATGCCATGTACACCGCTTTGTTTCAACTGTGTTTTTTTTTAAGTGCTCTATAAATAGAGTTGAGTTGAGACATTGAACACAAAAGTGTTGCTCTGACTCGCTTGTACCAGCTACACATGTGCACACCAAATGAAACGCATTTCAAAATAAAAAGTGCCACATACAGTATTTTTCATTCTATTTTGACCTCATCAAGACTGCGGGGGCCAGTCAGAGACTTTAGGCTTTGTATGTGTCCCATGAGCTTCATTTTGCCCAGATCTGTCTTAAATTAATGCACACAGGTGCATGATTTCTCCATTGACTGATGCTTCACCTGACTGTTTGTTGACTGTAAAATCCAGAGTCCAGTTTCTTTTCTTGTCACGGAATATAACACCATCGCCAACGAGGCCTTTCCAAAATACCTCATTGTTTCTCTGCGCTCTCTGACAACCTTGATCGGAAGCCAGCTGGTTCGAGTCGTGCCCAGGTCATCTGGTGTGAAGGAGGGCTTGTGGGTGGGGCTACATATGCTGAACACACAGAAAAACACGGGGTGCAGAGTTCAGTGTTACAGCCGGCGAAGCTTTTTCCTCACTCCTTGCCAGACGGCCTTTTCAGCGAAGTCAGGTCTTTGTGTGAGCATGGGTTTGCACAATCGTGATCCAAGGCTGTGTTCATAAATATACCTCCTCGGGGTGTTTTCGTCTACTTTGCTTTATCCGTTGCCTCCTCACTTTAGTCGTTCTTTCTTCTGCCCTGTGGTGTGACAGAAATGCATGGATCCGACTCACTGGATTTCTTTCGTGTAAATACAAAACACGTTTTTCTCACTCAGAGGAAAATGGGAGCAGGCCCACTTTTGTTTCTTCTTCTTTTCCACCTTACTGTGGACACTCTAAAATAAGAAAGCATTGAAAGCTATAAATGTGCTTCACGGACAAATTTTCACACTTGCCATGTTTTCTTTTTTCTTTTTATAGCTGGATGTAGGAAACAGACACATTTACTTTTGTGGGCACTCTTGTTGTAGAAGAACACACCACTGAGTTATAAACAGTCCAAACAACAACCCTTTACGTTGTGCATGAGTTTTTTTGTTTTTTTTTTAGCATCTAATAGCTTTAAATTAAATCACAAAGATCATCCATTTGTTTTACGGTTAACTTCTTAATATTTCAAAATGCTACATAAAATCCATCCATCCATCCATCCATTATCTGATCCGCTTGTCCTCACAAGGATTGCAGGCGTGCTGGAGCCAATCCGAGCTGACTTTGGGCAGTAGGTGGGGTACACCCTGAACTGGTTGCCAGTCAATCACAGGGCACACATAAACGAACAACCATTCACGCTCACACTCACACCTCAGGACAATTTAGAGCGTTCAATCATCCTACAATGCATATGTTTTTGGAATGTGGGAGGATCCAGAGTAGCCGGAGAAAAGCCACACGGGCATGGGGAGAACATGCAAACTCCACACAGGAAGGCCAGAGGCCGGAATCGAACCAACCCAGGACCTCTGCACAGTGAGGCAGATGTGCTAATCAGTCTACCACCGTGTCACCCTACATAAAATCAACCAAGTAAAACTACTGCAATGCTTAATAATGGAGGGGGGTTCTTACAGCCGTCAAGTGCAAAAGTGAGCGCATAACCTGAGTGCAGCGAAGGGTGAGATGATGTAATTTCCTTACCACAGCAAAGACTTGTCACATTCACCCCACAGCTGCAGAGAAAAGGGTCTATTTACAGTAAATGCAGTGGAAAACACACCACACCGCACAGTCTGCCTGTGAGCTTTCTGTCCTCTTTATCCAAATGTTCATGTGCTGCTTAATATACTGTATCTCAACAACGACCTTGAGCAGCCACTTTCTTCTCACAGTGGGCTTCGGCGCATATAAAAGCAAAACTGCCGCAATGGTTTCATTTGTGGTTGCGGAGGTGGAGGGGTGTGCGGCTCAGACCTGTGTGAGACTACCACAGGTTGTGAACTGAGGCTAAGGCCAGGTGGTCCCAAGTCCGGCCAGATGTGAGGGTGTAGCAGGCTGCACTCGGTGATCCTGCACAGCAAATGTGTTTGTGCTTCAAACATGTGCAAGTTTTCTTCTGTTCTGGGGAGGTGCACACAAGCGCTATATGACATGGAGATTTATTTATTCATTTATTTTTTACCAAGTTAGATTTACCAAGAAGCATATGGACAAGCATGCATTACGAATGAAGTGTGTTCATTACAAGCCAAGCAGACAGTCGACCATGGGCTAGTCGGTGAATGTCTGTGAGCGTCATTGGCTTCGTCTGTCTCCCCAACATGTTGAATCAAAGTTGGCTGTTCGTGACAAATGATCACTTTGATTGGCTGTTGTCTAGTGAACAAGTGCATGAAAAGAGAAAGAAGTGACGAAATCAATAGGCAAAGCGAAGAGGATATTCATGCACTCTTTTAGCTCAGTCTATTGAATAGTGATCTCAAAGCATAATCATCACCTTTTGCTGCTGTCTGCAGCCATGTAGGCATTGCAAGTGACAATCTGTTCTCAATACCCTTATAGCAGGGGTGCCCATGGCGTCGGTTTGCGATCGACCAATCACTCGCAAAAGGGGTGTCGTCGCATGTCATGAACTCAGTCATTGCCAGCCCAAAGGTTTATGCTACTGATATAGCTGCCCATCAACGGCAGTGAAGTTTGAAGTTGAAGTTTATTGAACATACAATAAAATAACAATTTGACAAAAGGCAAGCAAAAGTTACAAAAGGAAAAATAAAAAATAAAAAGTAAGTAAAACAAACATCATCACCGTTATATGCTCAAAGAAGTAGGAATGTCACGTAGCGAGGTGGTGGACCCCAAAAAGCAGGCAGGAGCAGGGTGTACTTGAAAGATTGTATTAAAACTCAGAGAAAACGAAATCCAAAACAAACATAGTCCAAAGTAGCAAACAAAAATCATAACTGAAGCTAAAACAGAACCATGACCAAAACAAACCTGACAGCAGCAGAGAAACGGCAACAAACAAACATGACAGTAGCACAAAGCAACAATGACCCGACAATGATTGCTCGGGCTGGGAGTCCTTTTAAAGCCACTAATTATCTAATGACCAACAGGTGTGCAGCTGCAGGGAGAGCCCTACAGTGCCACCTGTTGGTCCCAAACCGAATCATGACAGTACCCCTCCCTCAAGGGACGGATCCCAGACGTCCCAAAGTTGTCCAAAGGCTTGCCTCGCCGGGGAACAGGAAC